CATCAACAGAATACCCTTGTAACTGAACTCAGACAGCTCTTTGTTCTCTGGGGCACTCAAAAGATTTGAATTTCGGGTTCAGAAGGAAAATAGATGATGGTAAAGAAGAAGAAACAGAAGAAGGTAAAATGTGAAATTTAAAAGCTGTTAGTAGTAAAATCCAAGCTTTCTAATAGTCGATTTTCCCTCATTATTCATCTTAGCTGTATTAAATTGACACTATTTGTACGGTAGAACCACAAGTGGAATTGCACTGCTTTTAGCCCTCATACCTGTTCAACTGTAGTTTCAATGCCAGGGAAGTTAACTGAGCAGAAAACTCTAGCAGTGTATGAAATAAAATCATTTCTGTGTCCTGAAATACATTGTCTTTGTTTCTTCCTTATTTATATGTTCAACCAATCAATGAGACTACAAAATCCCAGCACATAGGTTCTATTCTGTCTCTGACGGAGAACTGGATCACACAGCAGCTGGTGAGAACATGGAGGAGACAGGAAAAGGTCAGTAAAGAAGACACAAGGTAACACAGGAAACCACAGAAGACCCTCCACACCACCATAGGAAACAGATGAAAGCAAAGACAACATCTAACATAACAAAGATGGGGGGAGAGAGAATAGAATAGAAGATAGAAAGAGAAACTCTACATATTAAAACAGAGTCTAAAATAAATACAACAGAACACTTTGAAATTTAAATTTGTCTTTCAATCACAAGCAAGTCCATGGAGGTGACAATTAGAACTCCTGCAGAGGGCCATCTGTACGGCAGTATTATTGTATGGGACAGCCAAGAGGTAGAAGAGGTACTGTAGGTATTTTGTATCTAATTTGCTGGAATTCTTTAAATAGTGACAACAGTAATGCTTTAAAACAGGAATAAGGCTTTGAATATTTAGATTTTCAGAAGGCTTTTCTTCCTATACGATTGATTTCATCTTGCAGGCAGCAGGCACTTAAAACAATGAATGTACCTGGATTAAGAATTGCTTAATGAACAGTAAGAAGATGGTTTCCAAAAGACTACAGATTAAGGTTACCTAATTAAAATGGAGTATTTCAGGCACCTGTATTGGCACCAGTGCATTTGCTAATTTGTATCAATAATCTAGATTCCTCTATGAGGTACAAACTCATTATATTCACACTAACCTAGGATTAGAAAACACTTCATAAACTGAAATATGGTTTTTGGGCTGTCTCAGAGCACTGCAGCCCTGGGTACAATTCTGAATCCATATGTGTCACGATAGTAATCCTACCTCTTAAGGGAGCTCCGGCTCTTTCGTATTTTAGTTGATTTCATGCGCCTCCCCCCTGTTTTGTCCGTCTTTATTTAAGGCGGGTGTTCCCGTTATGCCGGGCTCTGCATTGGAAGATGGACACCCAGAGGCCCGCCTACCATCAAGTTGCCCTGTGTCCGCGGCTTGAGGACTTGGGCTTCTGATCGGCGTCCAGGGCTTCGGAGCGCCTGGCCTCATTAGTGTTTTTATCCTCCTGGTTCCCTGTCCCTGTTCCGGATCCCGTTCCGGTTATAATCTTGCCTGTCTCGGATTGGATCTCCCGGCAACCTGGATTTTGGATTGCGCCCTGTTTTTCCCTCTTGGATTCCCACTGGACTTGTTCGCCTACGCCACGCCCCCTGAGCACGAGATCACGGCCGTCACGCCTCCCTTTCGGTCTTCCTGTCCTCCTCCTGCTGTGTTTCCCTAAAAGTCTTTTTCCAGTCACGTCCGGATTATACCATCTGCTGAGGGTCCTGAACTACGCAATGTGACAATATGTTCTCCTCGTGTTCGCATAGGCTTCCTCTGGTGTTAATGCATGCCCTGTGAAGGACTGGTGTCCTGCCCAGAGTGTATCGTGCCTTGTGCCTGTTGCTTGCTGGGATAGGCCCTGGCTCTCCTCCAGCCCTGTAGTGGATAAAGTGGTTAGAAAATGGATGGATGCATATGTGTACAAATATGTGTACAAATGTGTACATAGTAAATAATTTCTAACTCATACATTTACAAGGCTCTGTATACAATATATAGACCACATGTTTCACGTACTGGTGTCTTCCTTGTCCTTTGCTTTTGGAAGCAGCTTTTACATGCTGTTCGCTGTCTCACAACCAGGTAATGAGGTTTTTCACACAACCCTGACTCATGCTGTACCTTTTGAGGATCTCCTCATTATCACCACTGCAGCCTACTTGTTCTTACAATGCTTGTTGCTAAACTTCTTCTACATCTCCTGCATCTGCCAGTTTAGTCTGGGCCAGGTCTCTCCAGCTCATTCTTTACTCAGCTGGGATCCTTTAAGTCATTAGTCTTACATGAAACCTAAATCGGAAGCGAACGCGGCACTCAAAGTTTATTTTTTCCACGGTGTATCATTTGTTAGCTGTCCCTGTGTTATTGTGTTCAAAGATTCTACAATGGGTGAGATGCATCAAAATATATTGGCTCAATATCTCTCCTTATTGTAGCTGTATCTATCTTTTGTAACTTATGAAGTTGCACTGAATGATATTTGAGATTGGCAGCATATAAACAGAACAAAAACACGAAAAAGCCCAATGGAGCTTACTAACAACACAGAAAAACAAAGCAAAGTGGGCTAATCACAGAGATATCACAAGAAAGAAAGGCATTTCAACAAGCTGGTAAATATTTAGCACTAGCAGCATGTACAGAGTTTTAACAATATAATTATTTATATTACTATCATTCTTTACTACTCAAACCTACAAGACAGATTTTCTGTCTGTATTTCGGTATGCCAATAACAATCATCACACGTGCAGACTGATAGAGCTTAAATTTTCTAAGTGTTAATTGTTTGATAGATGTGAGAAGAAAAATAACAAGTACTTTAGATATACCCACCTACTGACACAAACCATGCACAAACCATGCTTCTAAACAACTTGTACTGTAGCTATTTAAGTGCACATTGATATGGCAAGTAGAATATCAGAATATCCTGTTTTTCACAGGAGGATAACCTTTTGACATTTACTGTGATGTTCACTGTGATTCAGAGACTACGAATCTCTAGGAAAAAAGTGTTAAAGGCATGGACACTTCCTTCTTTACCCAATACAAATACAGTTCTTTTACTTAGTCTATGATTTATTTTCCTATAACTTTCAATTCGGAAGAACTCTGATAAATCAGTCAACAAAGCACAAAATGCAAGAAAGCATAGATTAAAAAATGTGAACATGAACTATACAATTAATAAATAACCCTGACTGAATAAATAATGGAACTGGATTTTCACAAAATTTTGTTTATGATTAGTTTGTCATCCGCCCAAAATTAGAGCAACCTAAACCTACATGATCAGTCAGTACAAAGATCTGATTTCTTTCATCAACACCAAGCTACAAGTTTCAAACTATTCTTGTAAATGCCATTCCATTTTTTTCATTTTAATTAAATAATTTGAATAATGTTTTTGCTGCTTAAATGGACCTCTCCCATTAGTGTTGGGTTTTTAGACATAGCACTATGCAACACATTAAAAACCCAAAGGTTTAGTTTTGGGCAACATTTCCCCCTCTACTGCTTTTAGAATCTCTCTGGAGTGCCTTCATGCATTACCGAAATTCATTACTTCACTTTAAATATGACTAAGAAAGAGCTTAATGGCAAGAGATAAAATGATATGACCATGTTTTCAAATTCATCTCTCAAAAGGGGAGATGTTGTGTGAAAGCAATTGCAATTAAGGCAATGTTTTTCACAGTTAAGTGCAGACCCCAATCAATAGGTACTGTATAGCAAATTAATGGTAACATGGACTCAAAAGAACCTATGGCATAACAAGGAAATAGTAAAGCTGAAAGGGGCAATATTGATTATCCTCAGGAGTCGGTTATGATACATGTATCTGTCCTTCCACTCATTTTAATAATAAAACAAGACCGCGACCTTGACAAAGACCACACAC